GAACGGCAACCTGAGGGACACGCACTCGCTCTTCTTCCGCAGCCTGGCGGGTAGGGCTCAGGAAGGCGGCTGGGGACCCCGCGCCGGACTCGGGGAGGAGAATGGAGTTCCCTAGGGCTGAGGGGGGGGCGGCTGGGGTCCCCTGGTCAGGCTGAGGGAGGAGATTGGGGTTCTTCGTGGGAGAGGGGGAAGTTTGGGGTTCCGGGGTCGGGCTGAGGGGGGAGATCAGCGTTGTTTCCTCAGTCGTGCTGTGTTTCAGGTGCCCTGCAGCGTTGGTCCCCACTTGATGAGTGTCAGCGGGGCATCTTTGCAGCAGAGGGGATCCTCAGGGGCATGATCCCCCTTGGTTTTATGTGGGGACACCCCGGTGGTGCTCCCAGAAAACCCCTAAGCCACGTTTTCCAAAACACCCCTGTTTATTGGGGAAATAAAACTCAGGATCTTGATGCTGCTTTGCTGGTACATGTGCTGATTTTTTTTGAAATGTGAAAGTTGTCAGTTGTATCTTATGTCTGCAGACAGGGGCTTTGATCTCACTTTCCGGACAGCGGATGATGCGGGCTTGTCCCTGATAAAATACGGAGAATTCCTGTATGACAACTTGATCATTTTCTCGCCATCCATAGAAGGTAAATACAGGAGGGGAGAACTCATGTTCTTGGAGTTTAGTGGCATTTTTGGAAGGGGATTTCCAACTAGTTTGTGAATTTTAATTAAATCTTACGCTTTGGATGTTATCCTTTGTGTCTTGCATCCGGTAGGAAACTGCAGATACGTCCAGGGCTTTAATGGTGGTTCTTCCAGCTGCGAGATAAATTATTTGGTGTTTTGCTATGGTATTATTTCTACTCATTTATCAGCGGGACGACGCGTTGCTGGACAGGGCAACGTTGCCTCCTTTTCTGAGGGCGCTGGCTGCTCTTGGCAAAGTTTGTGGAGTTTTGTGGTGATCGCTTTCGCTTCCTGAGCCTTTTCCGAGTCTAAATTAATAAAATATTCTCCCAGTTAAGCAAATGTTAGTCAGCGATGGAAAAACTGCTGAAGCGGCAGCCCTTGAGGTGGACGCGTTCCCTCACCAAGCAGGTTCTGAACCCTTTACTGACGTTGTTTTGCTTTACCTCAGCCTTCAGCGAGCCTTTTATTTTGCGATGAGGGGTTGTTTTGAGAGGGAAGCGGCCTCCAAAGCAGGGGTAGAAAATGAAGGGGAGGTGGATTTTCCTCTAGTGGAAAAAAACTCTTGACTTTTGGGAGGTAGAAAGTGAGAAATCACCTCGTATAAAGGTTCCCATCTGCTATGCTTTAGCAAACCCCCCACGTCTGTGTCACAGCCGCCAGCAAAGTGCCCAAATTTGCGGCCGGTAAACGGGGGCAACCTCTATGCGTGGGACTCTGCGAGCACTAGGTGGCTTCTATATCTCCAGGCATGTGGAGCATAAACACCTCCTCGTCAGCTTTGTCCCCCTTGCGTCACGGTAACCCGCCAGCTCTGGGTCTATTTTAGGATAATGAGGGGTCACGGACTTTTCTGCTTGTATTTTGCTGGGAGTTCCCGTTCCTTTGCAATTAAACTGCTGTGGAGTTCTGCGATTCTATCAGCCGCAGGTAATAGGGATCAGCACTGTGCTTTTTGTAGCCACCTCTGCTCCCTTTCTGCTCACCCATCTGCCATTTATGCATCATCTTCCTTCATTTCACGTTTTCTAGCCATGTATTTATTTCTTCCTCTACTGTTTCTGCTCAGCATTTGTGAAGTGTTTTGGGGACCTTCAGTGAGGAGAAAGTTATAAAAATACAAGTAATCAGTGAAGCAGCTTGTTTTGTAGAAGGATTTTGCGTGCTTAAACCATCCTCCACAAACAGGCAGTGATACATTTACTAAACTTGGTGGTTGGTGCCGTTTCTCCATAACCAAGGCATACATTACGTTAAAGATGTCATATTGGCACAAAAGAGAGGATGAATTTAATAGTAAGGGTTGTACAGGGAGGAATCAACCACAGCTGTGTGTGGAGGAGGGTTAATCCCAGACTAATTTTCTGCTGTTTTGTGAAATTAATCCTGCAGTTTGGGGTGGAGGCGAGGAGGGGGCTGCGAGGTTTCCGAGGGAAGCCTGCGGTCGCAAGGTGTGAGATAAGGGGGACGGGTGCTGGTGGGCTGTGGTGATAAGAGCAGCTGGGTGAGGAGAGGAGAAATAATTTGGCTCGCTGCAGTTTTCCTCTACACATCGTGGTGGTGACTGCTCTGGACAGGGGACAGGGAGGCTCTCAGCAGCACCATTATTTCCTTTGTTTCTCTTTCTTTGCGTGCCATGTATCTTCTATCCTTGGCTGTGCATGGCCGTGCACAGGAAGATTCAACAGGTTTGGATTGATTATGGGTTGCTGGTGTTGTCTTGCACTCTTGATGGGGGTTCCTGGCTCCATAAAGAGGTTCTACCCTGTGGCATCATGCAAAATCCAACTGTCGCGTGGTATTGGCGCCTGCGTCCCTGCCCAGGTCGCCTCCAGAAGAGCCCATGCCCAGTACCTGGCCAGCCTACAAGCTCATCTTCTAAAATGTGCTACAAACCAGATAATCAAAACACAGTAAAATTAAATCAGTTTGTTTTAACATCAGAGCGGGATGGGTCAAAAGCACATTAAGCCATGCTGCTAATGGATGTAGAGTGAGTGCTGGGTGCTTAATTCATTGTCTGAGGTGTTAAGGCCAAATGCTCATAAATCCAATCCCAGCAAGATGACAGAGGTAAAACCTCACTTAAACTGATTAACTTGTCTCTTCCAGAGTGTCTGCGCAGGGAAACTGCCATTAAAGATTTGCACGTGCAGCTCGGATTTATCACGAGCTTGCTTTCTCCGCGGGCAGCAGCGCTGCTGAGCGAGGCCGGCTGGGATGGCTGTCTGGGGCTCTTCCCATCACCACCTAACCTTAATTATGCCAGTAATGTCTTACAAACCTTCAGAGCAGAGACTGCATGCCTTAATATAGCTTGCAAATAGACCCGTGTTTGCTTTGGAAGGGACCCAGTCTGGTGCAATACCACTGGGGCCGTGAATTGTGTCGTTAATGAGAAGGTAGGAAGCTCCTGCTTGTTTCTAATTGCGTGTGTTTCTCTAATTCTGATGGCTCTGATTGCTGTCATAGATAGTTCATCTTATTTTTGCTTCTTCTGCCTTGTCTTACTTTGGCACCACAGCTGATGATGGACCTCCTCTCTTAGAATGTGTTAGTGAGATTCTGTCATATTTCTGAGTGGCTGGAGTAAAGCAGTGAAAGTCTGTAGCATCTTCCAGATAAGAGGGGGAGCAATTGGGTTTTTTGGATCTTTGTGGATCTGCTACTTGCGGTAGCATCGGGTAGAGCCATAGCTCGTCCACGCAAGGACTGCAAAGCTTCTCCCACGCCGCTCTGCCAGTCCTGACCTGTGGCAAACATGTTATTGTTGAACCGGCCTTTTCCAGACCCAGAGAGACACGGTCTTGCTAAACTGAGGTGGTAAACGTGAAATTTGATCGTGTGCCTGAGGGGTTCTTCAGCGCTTCTTGCTTTGGACTCCTGCCAGGGGTGGGAGGCTGTTGGACTGATCTGCCGAGCCTCGTTGCGCTCTGATGAAGGCACAGAAACCTTAATATTTAGCAGATACAGTTTCTGGGAACTTTTGTTTCCGTAAACCACGTTTTTATCTTATTTTTCTTCCCTGTAATTTAGGGCATCTGTAGGTATTACAGATCTAATGTTAATAGAAATGTTCCCATGGTGATTATTCATTTTTTATCTCAATGTGTTTTTATATTTAATCTGCAGACCCCTTGTTAAGTCAAGATTATCATAACAGAAAATAATGTGACTTTGTGTTTTATAGTCAAAAGAAGTTAATTCCCCACCATGGACTGACTGCAGTTTCGGGAGTGGTGTCTTTGGGTGCTGAGCCTTCAAGTCTGGATAGAGTGACATCACTGAAGTAAACTGGAAATCATTGAGCTAATTATTGAGGTCCCTGTAAAACTAGTTATTCTGGGGAGCAGTGTTGTGGGAGAAAGCAGAGATCATAAATATTGGACTGGATCATCCATGGATCTACCCTGACCGACGGTGCCTGCAGGTGTGCAGTCAGTCCATGGCCAGTTGGTGCTGACTCAGGGGGAGATGACGCTGTAGAAGACAGCTGTGACTTGCGTAATCGTAGAGACTGGATTTTGGAAATGTGTGGCAAACAACCCTTGTGCAAGGCTTGCTTTCCTTTAATAATCCTAGCCTCTAATTAAGAGAGACCAGCCCTTCTCTGACCTGCTGGGTTTCAAGAAACCATTGCTGGGTTTTGGTAAGACCAACTCTATGTCATTGTCCAACCACTCGTTGAGGTCTTTCTGTGCCTGAGGTAGAGGTGCTTGGCAGGGCCTGCCTGTTCCTGTGGTGAGAATTGCACACTTTACCTTCCAAAGCTTGAGGTGGCTCTGAGAGGATTTACCAGAATACTTTTCTAGGAAAAAAAAAAAAAAAAGTCAAGATGTTGTCAGCTTTGTCACGCGTGGTGTTTTTCACTGCACTCTCTCCACGAACAGATAGTCTATGCGGAGCGACCTCTAACTGACAACAACAGATCTTTGGCCTCCTATGGCTTGAAAGACGGGGACGTGGTGATTTTGCGACAGAAGGAGACCGTAGAGCCACGGCCCTCCATCCGTTTCCCAGGTGAGAAGGGATTTGTGCTAACTTTTGTTCTGAGCATGCAGTGGTCTCAGTATTTATCAAAAACCAACTCCATGTCGTGTCAGCCTCCTTCAGCACCTCGTTAGGCAAAACAATTAGGGAGGGAGGGTGGCTAAGGATGGGGCAGGGTGCTTTTAAAATTAGCAAAAGGGCTTGTTATTTAATGTGGTATTTTAATTTCAAGAAAGCAAATACCATTTTACTGTTCTTTTGAGGAAATACAAAGAAAGCAAGGAAAAGGACGGGTTCAGAACAGCAGTTTTTGTAAAGGTGTGTTTTCATACGACCACTGGTTCCCTTCCTGCTCGGTGTAACGGCACAAGTCTGTGCGGCTCAGACACGTTAGAAGGCCGCTGTTGATGTGTGCTCTGAATCTGTGTCATGACAAATACTCGGAGAAGCCACGTCTTAAACCCAGTTACGCAACCGTGTGTACATGTGAGACTCCTCCGATGACGACTGATGGAGCCCTGCTCCTCTGTCCTGCCTTCTGCAGCGATTTCTAGCAAATCTCCATCATAAAATATCGCTGGAAAAGAAGGTACTGCTGGCTCAGAAGGGCGTGGGAGCATTTCTTGAGGTCTTCATCCTCCTGCCTCAGCTGGAGGATGGGTACCTGCAATGCAGGTCTGCAGAAATGTTAGTTGGGTGGTTTTTTTTTTCTTGCTTTTTTTTTTTTTAATCCAATTGATTCAGAGGTGCCTTAGAGACTCTGGGTTTAGCCTTGTGATCCCTCTGTGTGGTATTCACATTTGCGAAGCTGGAAATAACTAGTCTGCAATTCAGTAAGTGCATTTCAGGGGATAAAAAAATGGGCCAGATAGAAGGCTAGACTAGTTACATAAATAGGTGCTAGCATTCCTAACCCAGTAACCTGCATGCGTGACTGTTCACAGAATCCAGTCTGATACCGTAGCATTAAGGGCAGCTCATCCTTCCTGTGGTTTTTTCCCCAGCATTTTTCAAGAATTGCAAACATGAAGTGCCGACACCTCTTTTTTCCCCCCCCCCCCAAGGTCTGCCAAGGATAGACTTCAGCAGCATCGCTGTTCCTGGGACATCCTCTCAGCAGCATCAGCCGCCAGCGCAGCGTCCTCGCCCGTCGCCTCCCGATGCACCTTCGTTCCCTCAGGGTTTGGACAACCCGGCGCTGCTCCGGGAGATGTTGCTTGCGAATCCCCACGAGCTGTCCCTGCTGAAGGAGCGCAATCCGCCCTTGGCGGAAGCGTTGCTCAGTGGAGATCTTGGTAAGTTAAGGTTTTTAATTTCTAGAAGGTGGTTTTAAATCTGTTTGAGCTCAGTTCTACTAAAAGGCAGCCACAAGTTTTTAACTAGCTGGGATGTTCGCTGCCAACTCGTTGATGGGGCTGATAAAAGGTGCCAGTTGGGAGTATGCAAGGCAGAGTTCTCTCCTAACAAGATTGTTTCTGGCAAGTTGGGCATATTTCCCCTGCTTGGATTCTTTAATATCCTCTATCCCCTACTTTGAAATATCAGATGCACAGATAAGTTGAGCTTCTGTGAAGACAAGTGGCTCAGCTCCTGATTTTTATGCTAAGATGCTCCAAATGCACGTTTTCCAGTAATGGTGTTGTGTCTGCTGGATCCCAGAGCCCGCCGAGACCTCAGCAGAGCTGTAAACCCAGCTCTGTCCATAATGGCTAGCTGCTGGGAAGGGAGAGGAAGAGGAACAAGTGAATAGGGAGCTTTTTCAATAGGAATGGTTATAAATGTTTAAGTTTTTGTTAATCTTGAAAGTGCTTATGTATTTTGGGCACAGCTGAAGCCTAGGTCAGTGGCTGGTGTTGGTCCCTCATTCTTCATGTGCTGAAAGCTTTGAACTCTAGTGTCCTTTCAGTATGAAAACAGGGTGGTGTTTGGGGCGTCAGCAGATGTGCTTCTGAACCTTTGCAAGATGTTTAGTTAGGCAGTAAATCCAGTTGAGTTTGGGGCAGGGAATGAAGAGGGAGGAGCTTCTATCAGGAGACTTTTTTTTCCACTTTGAAGGTTACATCCTAGGAATGTGTCTCTGTCAAAGGAAGCTGGAAAGGAACTTGCATGGATATTGTCAGCCTATTTCATTTTCTAATTCTGATTTTTAGTTCATGTCCAGAGTTAAAACTGTGTGCTTTGCGCTCTCGAGCTTCTTCACACTTCTTGCAAGTGCTGCGTCCATAGTGCAGGTGTTTTTCCCATCACCTTGAGGGGATGTGCTGCTGTTGGCAGAAGAAACAGGAGGTTAAGCCCAAGACACCCAGAACTGGCTCCTCTGCTGATCTGTCTTGTGCACATTAAACTTTGACTCCAATGTGCATTTTTAGTCCCAAATCACCGCAGTGGGCTGTCAGAAGGAAGTGGTTTGATCCGGTTATGCTCTCATCGTTCTGTACTGCTACTGTCAGTATTTGGGCACAGATCCATTTCAGCTCTGGCTCTGATGCCCAGATATACCCACGGATACGTGCCGTGTGACTGTGCTGGATGCACCACAAGCACTTTAGAAGGCACCTGCTGTATAGAAGCCTAACTTAAAACAAACAAGAAAACATACCCAGTGCTGTCCTGAACATGAACAGCCTTTAAGCCAGAGAGCTTCTTCATGGGAACTGCATTTCTGGATTAGAAAGCCCACAACCTTCTGTGTTTATGCAACTTAATTTATTGCCAAGTCCTTTTGGGAATGTATGTGATCACATCCAAGTAGTAAAAAATAACCAGGGGCCATCCAAAAAGTGAGGATCTAAAAACTGTGTTCTTAAATGCATGAGGCGGGTGTCCTGCCTAGGACCTCTTGATTTCAGTGGTAGGCACTCAGCTTCAGGGATTAGGATGTATCTGCCTGCGTTCCTTGAGTTTAAAGTAAGTTTTGTTGTTAGCCTTTTTACGTCTTACAATTTTGTGTTTGCTCTTTGCTGGATCTACAGGCTGTTATTTTACTGGGGATTGCTGAGTGTAAAACGTGATAGATTTTGCAAGCTGTTCTTGTAGCTGGGCCATCTTACTGAGAGCTATGAAATCTCACTTCTATCTCTGAAGCTTTTTCAAAATACACATGCACTCAAGCTTCTCATTTGAATGGTGTAAGTTCTGTAGTCTGTATTTCTGCTTCGAGTCTCATCTGCTGCTTTTGCAGATGGTTTTTTTGGCGTATTGTGTAGGCAATTTTTGCTGCAATAGAAGAATTAATTCCTGTTTTAAAGGCAGCTCTTTGTTTTAAATATTGTTGTCTTCATGTTTTTTCCATTTTTCTTCTGTATAGAAATGTATGTGCAAGGAAATTGAGTTTGATTTCCTGAGTTTGGGTAGCAGACGGAAGGGGAAGGAGCTCTGTACAGTTGCTTTTCATCTCAGTGGGTTCCCAAGTTTACCACTGATCCTTTGAGGTCCATCTGTGCTGCCTTCAGATGAAGCCTTTTGTGCTTGTGCTGCTGAGTCTACCCCTGAGTGCATGCTGGCATAAAAAGAAGCATTTGCTGTGCCAGAACTTGATTTGTAAGAGTAATTTCCAGTAAAAAGCATTTCTGTATCTCTTGTTACTGCAGAGAAATTCACCAGGGTGTTGCTGGAGCAACAGCAGGACCGAGCCCGGCGGGAGCAGGAGAGGATCCGACTCTATTCAGCTGACCCTTTTGATCTGGAAGCACAGGCCAAGATAGAAGAGGACATAAGGTAGCAAACCAAAGCCACTTGCAGGCTTTGAAGGTCTTCACGGTGTTTTTCTGCAGAGGGTGCTTCCATCCATGGTGCTTTTTCCTTGGGAGATGCAAGGAGTGTGTTTAGATCCTGCCTTAAGACACACATTTGCTTGCAGGGTGATGCTCCAAGTGGTTGGGATTCAGGGACATATAGGCACACCTCATCTGTCAGATGTGTCTGGCTGAGCACAGGTGATGAGGTGCCAGCACCACTGTCCGTGCTTGTGATGTCCCAGTGCTAAGCTGGATCCCTCTGAAACAGGAGCACTTGTGGAAAGCACTTAGTGAGATCCTCTTGAGAGGTGGCACTTGGGTGCCTCGGGCGTGTTTTGAACCAGAGGACTGGGCCTATGTTAGTCTCTGAGCTGAGCTCTCTGGACAGTAACATGATGTCCTTTTCCCCAGCTGCCTTCGAGATTCCATTTTGTGTACTGCTAATTATTCTGTCTCTCTGGCTAATTCCAGACTCTGAACATCACTGCTGTTAGAAGTGATGTTCTGTAGAAATATGTTCTGCCCGTCAGCGCTCACTCCCTCTTGCTGTCTTCCAAATGTAATTGCATTGGGCTGAGGCTTGATTTCTTAAATTGAGTGATAAAACCTTGAGTCAGAACATGACTGGTGTTTTTTTTTCCCTGATAAAGAAATGTCTTTCTGATACAAGCTCGTAGTTGGTCATAACCAAAATTCATTTGTGATAAGAGTCATTTTTGCATTATGACTGACAAAGTGTTGGTGCCAGATAAATGCTTAGCTTAGCAATGCAGAAAAATATACTTATGTGAGAGCAAAGCATGTGGCTTGGAGGCACAGGAACACTTTCCTTCCTCCATAGGTGAGCTGGCAGATAAAGGTGATGTTGGCAGGTAAAGGCCCAAGGCTGGGCAGTTGCTGGGGAGCAGTTTGGGCATCTTGCAGTCCCCAGATTTCACCCCTCACTTAGCTTTTCTGAACTCCTTGCTTAAATAGATGTGCTCTGCCCAAGATTGTTTGGAAGCTGTTGCAAGCATCGTATTTTTTGAGATGTGTCTCTCTGTCCTTCAAGTATATTTTAGGTGGAGAGAGTGTCAAGCACAGAGGAAACAGAATAATGGATTTGACAAGAAAACAAACTGAAGGTTAACCACTGTATATCCAATTTAAGCTTAAATAATAGAAGACAGGACAATGTGTGGCTCTTTTTTCCACGAGTATATGCAGTGGGACCAGCAGCTTTGGTTCCCAAGTGAGCCAGGTCCCAGATGCCGTTAGCTGATTCCTTCCCCCACTAAGAAACCACGTCTACCCATCTTGTCATGGGAAGACTACCACAGGACAGAAGATGGGTGAGAGAGGAGCTTGGAGTTCTCCCCTTCCCCTGCTGAGGAAATAAAATGAAATGGCATCAAAATTGGAAGGTCTTTTCCTTTTTTTGGTAGGTAAAGCTATTTCAGATGCAGTCGCTACGGATACCCATCACTTCCAAGATGACTGTAGGGGCTGTGATGGGCTTCTTGAAGAGCGTTTCTTCTGTAGGCTTGAATTTGCACCAAGGGCTGTGCTCATGGTGGTGTTCTCGCTGCCGTTTTGCTCACCTCCCTCCCTTCCTATGCCTGGAAAAGGAAAGATACCAGGGAAACGTTGGAGGATTTTAATGTTCAGCTGCTGTGTGGGATTCCAGCATTGTAGCTACTGGCAACATCTTCATCGTGTGCCCTCAGTGCTTTATTTTAGGGTGACTAATAAATACGCAGGTTTTTCACTTGCAAGTTCTCCAGGTTAACTCTGTGGTGACAGGTTTCTGTTGCAAACAGAAGGTTGTCTGGTGCTGTCGTGTGAGTTAGACATGAGTTGGAAGGAGCAGTCTCCATGCTGCTGGGGAGTGACTTGGTGTCTCTGGATTAAGCCAAGATGATTACGACCAATCCCTCTGCTAAGAAGCCTGTGTTTAGCTAACAAACAGTCTTTGTTGTGGTTGAAACATGCTGTTTGTAAGGTGAGCTGCAGCGGGTGGGATTACCAGGTCTGTTTGTAAGTCAGAGGGATGCTCGTAAGGTCTGGCTGATGGAAGGTCTGATTTTTCTCTCTCTTCTCCATTAAATTCAGGCAACAAAACATTGAAGAAAATATGACAATAGCAATGGAAGAGGCCCCCGAGAGCTTTGGGCAGGTGGTGATGCTGTATATTAACTGCAAAGTCAATGGACATCCAGTGAAAGCCTTTGTTGACTCAGGTGAATTGCCCCTGTTTTCATCTCTTTCTCTGCACTCTCCCTCACTGAAAGAGACTAAATGCTCTGGAACTTTTGCCCAAAACCTCCATAATAAAGCACTGAATTACAAGATTTTGAAGCACCTAGTTAAAACCTGAAAACAGGCTGAGCATTAAGGCAAACAGAGCAAACTGCTGCGAGAAGCAGCACGTGTGAGTGCTTGGACACCCCAGATCAAGGCTCCTGTGAGAATTTCTGAGGCTGTGATGGTGCCACATGTGTGTCTTATCTCCATTTACAGATGGGGGGATTTCACATGCCTTTAATGCTGTGCTTCCCACCCACAGCCTTAAAGGGAGAGTACTTGGGGTTATTCCAGCTCTACAGTAATGGGTACTTTACTGTCAGTGCTGATCTGAGTGTACACGGTGAATTCAGCGCCCTGGGATTCACAGGAAGCCTTTATTCCCTAATGCAGCAGCCTGATGCAGGCTGGTTGGTTTCCCAGCTGCTGAGTGCAAGATCTTAAGCCCTTCCGGGAGAGAGTTTTAATTTGTGATGAACTGCCAGGATTTAACATGAATTCTGTTGCTGGTAGGTGCCCAGATGACCATCATGAGCCAAGCTTGTGCTGAAAGGTGCAACATAATGAGGCTGGTAGATCGGCGGTGGGCTGGCATTGCTAAAGGTGTAGGGACACAGAAAATAATTGGCAGAGTGCACCTAGGTAAGTGCTGGCATTCTTCTTGGGGCAGCTTTAGCAGCAATTTGACTGCATTTTCCCCAGTCTTGGCACTGAGGAGTATCTGGTTTAATGCTGTAATTGTTAGAAACTCCCACAGAGTAAAATAAAAGTGCATCTGCAATATGGCTCAGACACAGTAGCCTGGCTTCTGTCTCATTTAATGCTTTTTAAAATGGAATTACCTTAACACTTTTCAGTGAGGGAGTCCTCATCTCCTGCAAATGTAGAGGATGTGTTCACTCTGGGTGCAAGAAACAGGGTTAATGTGAAATAGCAGGATCTTTCCTGTTTGGGGTGGGACTGCTGGGCAGTATGAGTTGCTTATGAAGGGTTCCAGTGCAGTGGAGTGTTTCAGAAGAGAAGACTGTGTGTGCTGTTGTGCAGGCTTTCTGGATGAGAGAAGGTTGTGCTTATTTTCTGTAAAATCAATTTTCTTCACTGCTGTTGCTTCTTAGACTTGTGCTCCCTTGAGCTCTACACAGATGCTCTAGCTTGGAGGGTCAGATAAGCAGTACTTAAGGCTCTACAGGAGGTCAGCTGTTAAAATAATTAACTTCTTGAGATCTAGGCAGGCCTGGTAGACCCCGGGGCTTGCATAGGGCTCGATTTTCTGTGACCAAATCAGTACATCAGAGCTCTGGTTTCAGATTTCCCCAGCATGTTTGGGCAGACCTTTCCCAGGAGGTGGAAGAGCAGAAAGTAAATTTGTTGCACTGCAGTGTTGCAAGGTGGTGACTTTTCTCCTCTGCGTTTCAGCTCAGGTCCAGATTGAAGGGGATTTCCTGGCGTGCTCTTTCTCAATCCTTGAAGAGCAGCCCATGGACATGCTTCTAGGACTGGATATGCTAAAGAGGCATCAGGTATCAACACCTCTTTTGAAACAGTTACTGGCTCTTCCAAGTTAAGTGCCAAGTGCAACATAGGTGCCTTGCCGGTGAATTTATTAGGATTTTTCGGGGGGGAGTTGGTAGCCAGGTAGGAAAATACATACACCATGGATAGCTGTAGGGTGTCTGGCTGCTCCCAGAAGTTTTTTGCTCTTGTCAGCGATGCATGGAGCTTTCCACTGAATGATTTATTTCAAATCAAGTCAGACAGAGCCCTTTGCTTATAGCTGGTGCTCTTGGCCCACTTTGCTTAGCTGCTGTGAGCTGAGCTGTTGCCATTAGAAATGCATTGTTTAACTTGGTTTTTCCTCCTTCTCTGGGAATTGACTGGCTCGTACACAGGCCCCTGATGTCTCGATGCTCTTTCGCAGTGTTCGATTGATCTCAAGAAGAATGTACTAGTGATTGGCACGACTGGCTCGCAGACCACTTTCCTCCCAGAAGGAGAACTCCCAGAGTGTGCCCGGCTGGCGTATGGGGCCGGGCGGGAAGACATGCGGCCAGAGGAGATTGCAGACCAGGAACTAGCAGAAGCAATACAGAAGTCTGTAGAGGAAGCAGGTACCAGGAAGAGCCCTGTTGAAATATTAATCTGCATAGTTTTCTTGCTGTGTATCGGGATGTCTGTCAGCAGTCTCCCTTCTCAGCTCCCAGGAGACACATTCTAATGCAGCATCAGCAAGTAAATGGTGGAGAGAAAGGGGCTTTATTCTTCCTTGTGGCCTCTAACTGCACTTCTCCCTTTCTGTACAGCAAAATCTGTCTGCATGAAGGCATTCGGGGGTGCTTGCTGTTTAATTTGTGCTCTCCTTGCATCTTCCTGCCTGCTCTGGTTTCTCGGCCTTCGAAGGTGTGGAGATAAATGGTTGTTTGGCACCCGTTCACCTGGGTCGAGTTATAGTGCCTAGGCAGGGACGTGGTTCGGTTGTGTGATATTTTAGCAGCCTTGTGTAGGACAGCTTTGTGGAGGCTCCCACAAATCCTGTTCTTAATAGCTGCAGCGTATAAAAATAGAGAAGCTGTAGCAGTAAGTACAAATCTCTGGACAAAAGTTCATGGCAGTTTTTAGAAATAGTACTATTTCAGCATTTTTTCCTTAGAATGGTGCTTGTGCCTTTGGAAGGTGAATTGCTTCTTTTACTGAAGGTTACTGTTGCTCCAAATTTGAAAAGAAGCAGCTGAATTCACATCCTAATGTAGATCATCAGCCTTAAATGTGATCTGCAAAGAGAATTTTCACCCTCCCCACAGTTTCGCTCCCTGCCTCTGGAATCCATAAGCTGCACAAATGCAGACTGACTGGGCTATGGAAGATTTTGGTAGCTGAAAAATTTAGTTAAGTGGTGATGCCAAAATAGCTGAAAGCTGAGCTATGAGCCAAACTGTCTGAAACTCAGATTTTCTGTTTAACTCCTCCCTTAACTTCAGTATATGCTTTTGATTAAAAGAAAGCTCATTACTTCTTTCCACGCCATTACAGTGAAGCTGTGAATACCTCACAAAGTGTATTCCTTAAGCTTTTTCCAAAACTTTTAAAGATAACATTTTATATGCAAGTGTTTTACAGAGACATTTGAGTTTTACTGCTGCTTTTCCCTCTGAAAGCATGCAGTAAGATTCTGCTTCCCACACACATGCAAAACTCTTTGCCAGGTCACGTTTAAGCTGATAAAGTTGATTTCTTCAACATTTTTATCGCTAACTTTTTAAGACTCTAGCATGCCCACATTTAAGATTGGCGTCCAATAACCAGATTTAACTATATATCTCTATGTGTGTATATAATCTGTTGTAATGCACTGAAATTTTTCTCTGACGCTTCCCAATTCCTGCTTGATAGTCCAAAGGGTAAGCAGTGACCTTCTTGCAAGTAATGAAGCTGTTTACATTAAGGGGAGCATGGGACTGCACTTACTGGTCCCTTTGACCAATTTTCTTCCGTTTTAAGAATATAAGTTTTCCAGAGATGTAAACACCTTCAGAGGAAGGCTTGGCTTTAGTGAATTAGGAAGAAATGGTTTATATGTTTGACTTTCAAAGCCAGATTTGAATGCTTGTTAAGTCGCAGCAAATAGAGAGAAACACAGACATAGATTTGACCTTGCCCTTCTCAGGTTTTGACATCACAAAAGGTTAGAATTGGTAGTTTGGGCTCATGTCTCTTCACATAACCTGTCAGAGACAATGTACAACTGTAAATGTTAGTTCTTTTCCTGTAAAATCTTTGAGTCTGATGCAGCCTGGGTTGGTTTCTACAATATCTCTCCATTTCAGATGAGATGTTGTAGACACCACAGTTGGTTGGACTTAGTTCTCTGCTGAAAGGGTCGAATAAAAGCAAACCTCTCAGCCCAAAATATATGAATCTTTACAATAAAAGCATTTTAGTCAAGTGCTTTAAAATAAAATTGTCTAAAATGACTTAAAGCTCCTTATGTACCAATACAGTTCTAAAGACCATGTGGCTTTGTTCAGACTAATCGGCAGTCTACCATTTTCCATTGATGCTGAGCCCTAGAGGAATGTAAAAGATTTATGAGAATAGAAAAATCCATTTTGTATGTTCACTTAATGCTTGTAGAACACCCGGGCACAAAACTAAGGTAGGTCTTAGACTGACTGTAAGTCTTAGACATATTACAAGCCTCTGGCCCACAGGCATTTGTTGGCTGTATCCTAAGGTGTCAGAATATTAATGTATATCCTCTTCCTCTCTTCCAAAACTATTAGCTGCTGCTAGATGGTACCAGGAAAACCAAGTGAAAAAAACAGGAAACTGGAGAGGAAGAGAATATAATGTAGGACAGGGAAGCTCAGCTCCCTGGAAGGCCTGTGTTCTTTCGTAACAGCTTGAATTTTTGCTGCCTTCTGGTAGATGGTACAACAGAAATCGCTGCGTACATCTGTAAGCTATTACAGTTCTTGTTCTGAATGCACCTGGATTATTCTTGAGCTTTATTTAATCCTCTGAAGCCCACTTCAGCAAGCCTCATGATTTCTGTCAGCTGACTTGCTGGTGTTTCAACACCTACAGCAAGGTAGCTGAGGTGGTAGTGGAGTCCTCGTATGTTTTACTGTCATCTCGATCCTCCACACCTGCTTCATTTAGTTCTGAGAGCTTGCTCTTTTCTGCCAGTATGCAGTGTTCCTCACCACCACTGGGAAACTCAGTGATTACAGAGGTTTTACAAAACTGGCAGCAAAACTGCAACTGCTTTAGGAGGAAGCATATTCAGGTAGTTTAATACCATACACAGCTTTTCAACCAGACAGCCTCGATACAAAAAAGGCACTGCCACCACATATGCAACTCGGGCTCTTGCTAATATAGAGAGGAATTTTTCCACTTTGTGGTGAAGAGTTTGTACCTGGTGTTAGCTGGATCGATGTGCTTGATGGGGCTGGGATGCAGCTGCTGCAGATGCCCCTGGAGGAGCGTGACAGTGCGTCTCAGAAGGGTGACGCTGAGGAGTGCTTGGCAGAATAGCAGCTACTTCTGCTGTCTTAAATGACTGCAAATCCCGGGTGTGTTTGACAGATCAGACCCTTATTAGTGATCCACTGAGTCAAAAGACAGTTCTGCTTCCTCTCTAAAGGACTGGCTTGGGAGCTGAGAGCGTGAATAATCCTACCATGTAGAAACAGAAAAAGATCCCTCCAGTTTGCATCCGTATCCTGAAGCCTCTTTGCACCCTTATGAAAGATGAGCAGTCTGCAAATCTGCAGGACAATTCTGGCTTTTTAACACTCCCAACAGCTCCATGTTGTTGTAGCTACATTAAGACCAGATGTGCAGCCAACAGAAGGCTTTGCTCTGTGCAACAGCTGCTGTATTTTATACCGAAATGTATTGATCAGAGGTGTGGTATCGCAGCACATAGCGCACCGTTTTTATTTAATGGAGAATAAAAGGAACAAGTAGCTGAGGTGGAAAAGGCAGATTTTGTCAGTGTTGTGGAAGTTAAAGGAGATCCTGGCTGAACTTGTGAGCACGGTCAGCTGTCCTCCAGTACCCCTGGGCATCTCTAAAAAGCGAAGGACTTAAGGTAAAACAGTGGTATATGTTTAAGACTGCTGAGTTTGGAGGCCTTTGGGAAGGGAAAGAGAACTAACGCAACAAATCACACAGCACAAAATCTGTGTATCTGACACTGGGCAGAGTAGGGCTTTAATGGAAGAACAGGCACTCTGACAGCAAAGGTCATGTTCGTTATTTAACAAGAGCGTGAGAGCTGATACATTGGCAAGATAAGTTCACTGATTCAGTCTCTCCTGATGACTAGAGCCAGTGTTTGATGCTACTAATACAGATTTGCCATTTGCCTGTTCTCCATGTGGGGAAGGAAGCAGTGAGACTTCTGGCTGTCTCTTCCTTGGCTTTACTCTTCCCAGCCTTTTGGGGCCTGCTGCCTTTCACCCTAAGATCTTTACACTTCCCTTTTGCAGTAAGCAGGTGTTTGCTCACCTTCTCTTACCTGTGATGGCACTGCTGGGAGAACAGTCCAAGAATTGTGTTGCCTTCTCAGTTCTCATTTCCCTGAAAGGTGCCTCCTGGATATCTTCAGCCTTATGGAAAACAAACTAGTACAGTGCCAGATACATGCTTTGTGCTGCCTGTATTTTATCAAATGTGTAGTATCACCCACAGACTGCTGTGCAGCATAGATAGTACAGAACAGCCTTTAAATTGTTCTCCAGCAGTCACTTTTGTCTTGATGTAACGAATTTCCCAGGCAGAACTCCTTCTGGAAGGCAGTGAACGTGAGGAGCTCCTGCTGCCTGCACGCTGTCTTGATGGACAGTTGGGAGGGGAGCTGTGAGGTTGCAGGACTATAATCATGCATGTGGTGTGCTCTGAATGCTAACAAGAGTTTGGTGTGTTTGTTTCCTAATCCAAACAGAACGTCAGAAGCCTTGATGCATGTAGTGTGTGTTTACTGCAGCTGGAGTGGGCCACAGACCAGGTATTTATAACCATTGGTTTATAAGTTTTCACTACAACAGTGAAAACAATCCTTCTCCAGGGTCCTAACTACTTATTTTTTTCTGTCTTCTGTTAGAGAATAGTGACAAAGAAACTACCTCACTGGAAATGCCCTCATTACCAGCTTCTGATGGGTTTCAAAATCCAGTCCAGTCTTCAGGACTCAATTCCAAGATCTGTAATCCCACAAATCAATTACTTGATCGTTCTGTCTCTGCCCCTGCTTCAATTTGCTCATCCAAATCTAGCCTTGCAGAGCCCATTGATCCTAGAGCCGTCAAGTCTTTTGAGTCTTCAACTGAATGCCAGATAACCCCAGAAAAAGAACATCCTCTCTTATTACAGCATCTTTCCAATAACGCTTCCTTGGCAAATAACAACCCTTCTCCCCAGACAGGCAAGGTAACCTGTCACAATCCAGCTTGCCTTTCACAGAAGACACTCAAAGAAACATTTATTGCTGACAGTTTAAAGGAATGTAATGCTAAAGAACAAGAACATGGTCAGGAGCATCCTTTGGAAGTGACAAAAGAAGACAGCTTGGCTGACGCTGCTGCTAAGCACAGGCAAAATAAAGATGTACGTCTGTCTTCAGAACAGGCGGAACAGGAGCAAAAGCACGAGCTTCCCACAGACCATCAGACACGTAAAGAACCAGAAAAAGAACATCTGGAGAAGCAGACTGAGATAAGTGACCCAGAACCTCCTTGCCATGTTGATGGGTTTGAGAAATCTATTGTGGAAGAAGCCAGTCAGCCAGAAAATCCTCCTACGGAAACGAGAGGAGATGGACAGGAGAAGGTGCGTCTTGCCTGCATGAAAGGGTGTTTCCAAATGTCAGCCTCCTGTAGCTGTGTGCATATGGAAGCCTGCATGGAAATAGATGTAGTTGAGCAGTCTGCAGCTGAAGTGCACAGCTCAGCAAGTGAACAGAAGCAGCAGGCTGAGATCAGAAGTGTATCTGACCTGAACTCGGGTGCCTTTTCCATGGAGGTGGAGTCGCTGAAGTCTGCGTCCTCCATGAGTGAGCTGATTTCCACTGGTGGTGTCCCGCAGTCTGAAAGCACTAGTGAAATTCCTGCAAAGTGTAATGAGTTGTCTGATTTAGCAGCTGAAGGCAGCTCTTCCCCCTCCAGCATCCATCAGCTGGATGTGGATCCAGGAAGACCTTCAGAAGAGCCATGTTTCTCTCTAGCATCAGCCTTGAAAGAGCTTCACAAACTTTTGATAATCAGTCGGAAAGGAGAATGTAAAGTCCTTGCCTCTGAAGAAGTCTCTCAGCTGGAAGTGGTTCACAGAGGGCCAGCAGCACAGCAGAAGTGGCTTTCTGAAGATGAGCAGAAAGGCTCAGATCCAGCCAGCCAGGAACAGAGTTGTTCCTTCTGTGATGTGAAGTCTGAAGGTGGAAGAGCAGAGGGGAAACAGTCTTGTGATTCTGTCACAGAAAACATCAGCGCTGGGTCTGTCGGTCACGTGCAGTCAGCTCTTGGAGAAGAGGCTTTAGAGATTCACAGGTTTTCAGGTAAGAGTGATTTGGTTGTGGTGAATCCTCCAGCGTCATCTGACCAGCAGCAGGGCTCTGAGCAGGCGGAGGTTTTGGCAGAAGGTTCTCAGAGTCCAACTGGTCCAACTTTGGAGCAGAACACATCTGTTCCCTCCGCACCTGCTTTGGATGAAGGTGCGCCTCAAGGTGCTCAGAGCCTGGTCGCAGGAGCACCTGGGAGAAGCAGCGGTTCTGCTCCTGAAGCTCCGTGGCCTTTGGGAGGGTCTGAGGAGCCACAGCCAAGGCCACCAGCTGGCTACACGGGACTTACCTCGGGTGCTTCTCCTCCACCACCTGCTTTCCCCGCGGCTGACGTGGATCGCATCCTCAGTGCCGGTTTTACCACGCGGGAAGCTCTTGAGGCTTTGGAACAAGCGAATGGAAACGCGGATCTTGCTCTTCTCATTTTGCTAGCCAAGAGTATCGTTGTTCCTACGTAACTGTGGAAGAGGTAGCTGACTGGGGTGTCTTTTCTTTTAAAGGACGTATCTAAATTATACATCATAATGTACAAGCAGAAGGTTGAGCCAGATTTCTTAGTTATTTGCAGCCAAAGTTACTTGTCTCTTCTGTTTCACCCATTAGATTTGGCCTTCTAAAAGAAAGAAAACATCCTAGCGTTGTGTGGACAGGATAGCTTTTAATTATGCCTACTGGATGAAAATTAATGTTTTTATTTAACTGTACAATTTTAGAATAAGCTCCAATGTTATGAATAAAAAGCAGAAGCCGTTAAGATCACTGCCCTGTCCAGCGCAAAGCAGGTTGTGAAGTGAATTGCCCGTGTGCACGGGACAGGAGGTGCATGCTGAGTTCAGTGTGGCGCAGACGCGAGACAGCGCTTGTCCAAACGGACTTTGGGGATTTATTTCAGCTCTTCTGCGCTTTGTAACCCAATGTCCATCTGTGACGCTGATGAAACTATTACGGCAGCTACTAAAGGTATGTAGATGCCTACAGACGTGTAACACTTTGCAAGAGGAGTGAGGGGTGGAAGGGAGGGCTGGTTTTTGGAAGTGTGTGATGCCTGTTTTTGCCAAACCCTTTTGTGCTCTTGGGCCAGTGTGTTCCAGTTTACAACGTCGGGGATAGAAGAAGGGAAGAGATAGAATTTGGTGCTACCAAAACTTAAGAGACGTTTTAACTTATTTGCAGATGTGCTGGTATTGTAGGTGGGGGGAGCGGGGAGGGAAAAGGAGTATTTTACTTTTTTTTTTTCTAGCCTTGCCCACATCACGTTTCCCCCAAAAAAAAGAACAAGCTCAACCGCTTTAAGGCAAAACCTTAAGGATGAAATTGTTTAACAAACCAACCGTATGTTACGGCTCTTAATCCCCCTCTGCCTGGGGAGGAATGAACTGTTTCAGTAGATGCATTCTCTATGCACCAAGCAGGGGCATGATCAGAAGAATGAAAATATCTGCTTTGCACTCATTTATCTGGATGTTTGGGGATGGTCAGCCTCTCAGCTGTGGAAATGCAAACTGCAGAAAGCCTGTAGTGGCTGGTGGGGTACTAATTTAATACCTCTTAAAGAGTGAGGGCTCCCCAATAGGGTTTATGAAACAAATGCACTGACGTGGCTTCTGCATTATAACCATCGTGGCCTTCTGGGAAGTCCCTGGTGAGTCACCTGCGTGATGAGGGCTCACCCAGGCTATGCTGTAGGAAGCCCTTTCCAGATGCTTTTTTTTTGGGGATGAACTACTTTGTAATGCTGTGCAAAGCCCCAAAACACTGCTGGGGCTGGGGAAGGGAAAGTGTGGCTGAAACACAATACCAAATTTTAAGTAGGAACTTTTACTTAGTCCTTGCAAATCTCAGAAGTGGCTTTGTGTCAGGTGTTCATCTTGAACTTTCTGCTTTGAGCTAAACCTGAAGTGATGGGTCAGCAGTGGCTGGAAACATGTTTTTCATGGCTTTTATTTGTTGTTACCATTGTCTCAGGCCTGTGTTTCTGGTGTTTTGTTTTCCCTGTCGATTAGCAGTTTTGCCTACGTGTATGCTGGGCTTTTTTCACGCAGGGTGGCATTTAAAAACAACAGGAATTTGGTTTCATCTGTGAACTTGCAGGAGTTTCAGATGTCAGCGAGCAGTGGTTGTAGACAGTTGGGCAGCCAGGAGATCCTTTAGAATAACAAAGAGCTTTAAGGCATTCCTCTGTCTGTTGAATGGAGCTTTTTGCATGACCTGTGAACATAGCAGCTAGGCCTGGGGCTCCCGGACACGTTTAGCTGGTGTCCCACTAGTTGTGATGTCGGCAGCAGGCATTGCTCCGTGCGTACGGAGGAAGCAGCGCTTGGCTGTTTGGGAACCCCTTGCCAGAGCAGCATTGAGTAATTCACCTGAGGCTCTGTTCAAAATGAGTTACTGAGGCAAGACTACAGCTTTATGATCTTTACTCGGCAAGTGGTAAGTTACCCCCGCTGAAGTTTGGGGTTTAATCTTCTCCTTGCAATGAGCACCTCAACTCAGCGAAAGCCCCCTCTGTGAAGGGTAACGCTTGGGTTACACAGGAGTACAGTGTCATCAGATCTCTCTCTAGAAGCCTTAGGAAATAGGATATATTAGACCCATTCCCATCTGCATCTGGTTCACTATCGAAAGCAGCAACAAGAGTGAGGCCCCCAGCTCTTGGCTTCAGAGCATCCGCAGCCTAAAGGACCGAATCTGCTCCCGATTCCCGCCCCGGGGCTCAGTGAGGTTGCGCAGGTACGGGCTGTGGACTGCCCCTCTTGGATGCACGAGAGCTGAATTTACGCCCTTAGCCTGCGGGGTTCATCTACTGCCAGCTTGTTGAAGCATCAGATGTTAGCCATTCAATGTTATACCCTTTTCGTATTTACATTTTATGTTTTTAGAAGCAATTGCTAATAGCTAGACAAAGTGCTGCTGCTTTGCACCAAACTGGCTAAAGGCTCTAGTTTTATGGCCACATTTACTTAGACTGCATATACAGGATTTATGCTATAAAAGCTTTAGAGCATCAGCCAATTTGCTTCAATGCTCAGTTTTATTCTTTGTCAAATACAATTTTTGAAATCTGCCCTTCTGCCAAAGCTGTACTAAAGCATTTATCAATAGTGCTAGAGTTTCCTGGGTAACTTTCTCTGAACTGCTAGAAACAAAGCCTGACCCCCAACTGACAAATACTTGTAAAACTATTTCATCAAATTGGTCCAAGCCTGGTGATTTAAATCTCTTCATTTCAGAGCCTTGCTTTGAGTGAATGGCTATGTGCTGCTAAATTAGAGAATAATTTTTTTAGGGGCAGGATTTATGTTGGAGAAAATTGGGGCAGTGGTGAGTATTTAAGGTTAAAATAAAGTGTAGGAGAACGTGTATTTAGCAAACGCTGTCTAAAAGTTGTCTGCTGTTCTAACGTGCACATGTGTCCTCTCTGCTGTCTGCACACATCCTTTGCTCAGCCTTTAGCAATCCTTTAACTGGTCTCTGTGCTCACCTGGCCCCCAGGGTGGGAATACTTCTATTTCAGCAGGCATGGCAGACTGCTACAGCTTGTTGGCTAGAGTAAGGGATAAAGTTCATGCCAAAAGCTGTTTGGGTTTCCAAGAAGCCATGTACCCTGACCTAAAAAAAGGCTCTTCACTCTCTTCCCCCTCCTCATTCATCACAGCTCCAATGTACTAATGTCACATCAGCTTAGCAAAATTATTTCAGTATGAAAAGTCCATCTATTGAGAATAAAGCAACACTAGGAAGCTGCTTTATAAAGATGCCTACACCTGTGGGGACCCTTGTGGGTCTGTAAAGCTTTTTTCTGGGTGTTTCCTGAAGGCACTGTGGTCACGTACTTTGCTGTTGGTTTCTGAGGTGTGTTCTTTTAAAGATACTGAAAGAATTTACTCGGCCCCTGGCTGAACGCGTGTTTCTGTACATGAGGCTTTAGGTGAGTTTAGAGGTGATGTTTAGTGAAATACTGACATCTGAAAGTTTCTGAGCACAGATAATTGTGACAAGAGGAGGAAATATTTCCTGGTGATGGTCCCTGGCATGTTTACCTGCTGCTGAACAGAGCTGAGCTACGCTGTGTTATCGTGACAATCTCTGCCTTGTTGCTACGTATGTTCAACTTTCTACGTAGACACTTGGTCTCCAGGACTGTTAACCTTGTGCCTCCTAGATATGTTCCCTTCTTTCTGTGTTTGTCTCCCCCTCTTGCTGTCTCCTTTCCTCAAAAGTAGCAATATTTAAGTGTACTTGCTGAATGCGTAACTTCCAGATAAGTTTTCTTTAAAACACCATGCCATTTACAAATGAAAGGAGGAGCAGATCCTAGAGGTTTCTTCACCAGACTTGGACTTCTTGCCAAATGGCTCCCCAGAACTCTAATGTGAATTCAAAGAGGAGAAATGAAGAGGTGTTTTTGCCTGCCTCTCTCTGAAGTCAGCTTGGGAAATGGGGTCGGTTTCATGTACATCATTCCCTTCTGAAGCGTTCAAGAGATTTCTTCCTGCACTGTGTAGATGAGGCTTAGTCTGTGATCCAAATGTATAGCAGTTTGGGTTACTCTTTGACTGATGCTTTTTAGCTTAAGAGTTTTACAAACTCACTTAAGGAACTTGAGGGAATCAATACTCAGGAATCCTAAAAGCTGGTTGCATTTCTGTCATTTACTCTTCTGGGCTGAACATACTGCGGTTGTCCTTGCAGGTGGCTGAAGGGAGGAGTGGTTGTGTCATCAGAGAATGGGATGTGGTTCTGCCCAAAGTAATACACACTTGATTCTTTCTTTTGATTATTTTTTTTAATATCGGGGGACTGTTTATCAACGAAATTGATGTGTAAAAAAAAAAAAATTTGATATTTAAAAAAAATGAATAAACACTTTATCATAATGTTGCTTGATTGGTCTGTCTGTATTTCTGAGGTCAGCATTTCTGCACTCCAGTCCTTCTCTGGCTTTTCTTCCAAAGCCAATAGAATTTCCATAACATAAATGTTGCCATTTTGAACATAATGAGTAGAAATCTGTTGCTAAAATGATTCCAGTTGGCAGGGCCTGAGAACAGACATGAGAAATTAATGTATTGGGGATGGGCTATTGAATCTCTCAGGCAGGGCTTGAAAGTGGAAGAGCATTAGAGTACAACACAAAACGTAACACTTGGCTGCAGCGCTGTCTGCTGGAAAAATGCGTGAGGCACTCCTCATGTCTTCTACTTAAATACATCGTTGCCAGCCAGATTAGGAGACAGTTGGTTTTATTTTTCTGGAGCTGGAAGTTAATCTCTTGGGACATCAAAAAATTGACATTTATATCCCTGGAAACCTCATGACGGTGTTAGTTGGAAATTATTTTTTAAGTCCCATTCTCGTAGTGTCATGGAATAGAACAGGTTTTGGAAAGTTGGGGCACAGTCCGCTAACCCTAAGCGGCAGCATTTGTCTCATGGAGCAGTAATTCCTCTCTTTTTTTTAATATCTTGAAAAACAGATGCACCTTTTCTTGAGATGAGTGCTGAGTTGTTGACCATTTTAAATCTCAGATACCCGGAGAACACTCAGTGTTGGTACCAGGTGAGCAGGTACTCAAAAACACAAAGGGTTATGAGTCAGTTGCTGTCACAAAGCACTTCTTGGGCAGTGGATTCCTCCTCACGTGTTCAGAGCTACATGTGATGCTGGTGTCACTATTACAGCTAAGTTATGTCATTAATGTTATTAATTAGAAGGGCCAAACTATGTTTTGAATTCTGGTCTTGGGGTGGGAAGGGGGAAGTTTTTAATGTTCAGGGTGCTACAGCCCCATTCAACCTTTTCATACAGCCAAAACACTGCAGTTTCTTCTGCAGGGAGATGTTTTGAGGACTAAATTCTCTGACTGAAAATGATTCTGAGCACTTGGGCCTTGTCCTTTCTCCTTTGGGAAGGTGGCATTCTTCTGATAGAGACACACAAATTAAGCATAACAGCGTGGT